ACGCCGCACTGCCCGCGCGCCCGCGCCACCGCGCCACCCCCCCCTCCCCCCACCCCCCCACCCCCCACCCCCCCCTCCCGCAGACGCCGCGCCGCCGCGCGTGCTACGCTCCGTGCGCCTCGCCGGCCGACGGGGAGGAGAGCTCGCTGCGCGCGTCGCCTGCCCGGACGCCTAGATGCGGAAGACAGCATGCACGGGAGGGCGACGATCTCCGCCCGCGAGATCGACGATCTCCGCCCGCGAGATCGACGATCTCCGCCCGCGAGATCGGCGATCTCCGCCCGCGAGATCGACGATCTCCGCAGACCCCGCCGACCGAACCAGCGGCGGAACAGCGCCCCCGCCGAGCCTGCTCGGTCGAACGCCTGCAAGCGCACACTCCGCCCCCCCACTCGCCCTCACTTGACGCGCCGCCGCAGCCCCACTCGCCCGTGTGTCCATACCTGTAAATGAGGAGGGCTGCCTGCTACCACCAGGCCTGGGACGACCTCTGCGCCGACGTCTACGCGCAGCCCGTCTGCGAGGCAATCGCGCGCGTGCACGGCGCGAGATTCTCCGAGATTCTCCGAGATTCTCCGAGATTGCCCGAGATGAGCCCGTCTGCGAGGCCATCGCGCGCGTGCTGCACGGCGCGCGCCCACCGCCCGCCGACCACATAGCGGCTTCCATGAGCCCACAGTCATGCTGGCGACACATGGCGAGCCGCCGCGACCGTGCCGAGAGACAGTACAGGACTCCTCAAGCGACAGTGCCGAGCCGCGCAGCCGCGAGAGCCGGCGTCTCTCCAGCCGTCTCCTACGCCCACCTGCAGGTGCCACCCGTCCCCTACCCCCACGGTACCCGAATCCATCCCCTACCCCCGCGGTACCCGAACCCAGCTCGTCGCCCGCCGGCAGGCGCTAGCCCGGGAGGGGGGTGGGGCTCCGCGCCGCCCGCAGCGCGCCTTCGCTGGGCGCGCCTTGGCTGCCACAAGTACCTCCCGCCGGGAACCAGCCCGCCGCCGCCGCCGCCGCCGCCGAGGCGGGTCGCGCCGCCGCCGACGACGCGTTTTGGCGGCGGCAGTGGCGAGGGCGGCGGCGAGAGCGGCGAGAGCGGCGGCGGCGAGAGCGGCGGCGGTGGCGGCGGTGGCGGCGGTGGCGGCGGTGGCGGCGGTGGCGGCGGCGGGAAGATGCACTGCGTAGCGCCGAGCGACGGCGTGCTGCTGCTGCTGGTATCGGATAGGTCGCCGAAGCAGTCTCTCGTGTGCCACTACCTGGGAGCTGCGAGCAGCGCCTCTCTTCACACCTGCGGCTGTGAGCAGGCCGAACCAGTTCCTATGCCACTACCTGTCGTCGGCGATGGTGCACGGGCTGAGGCGGGAGATATGGGGAGATATGGGGAGATGTGGGGAGATGCGGGGAGATGTGGGGAGATGTATGGGGAGAGGGCGATGGTGCACTGGCTGAGGCGCGAGAAACGGGGAGATGTGGGGAGATGTATGGGGAGAGGGCGATGGTGCACAGGCTGAGGCGCGAGGAATGGGGAGGTATGGGGAGATGTATGGGGAGAGGGCGATGGTGCACAGGCTGAGGCGGACGCCGCGTCTGGGCGGGGCACAGCGCCGACTTGTGGCTGGTTGCTGACCGCGCGCATGTTGACCGCCCCTCCTCCGATTGGCTGCTCAGGCCGACGACTCTACCTCGGGTGGGACCTCCCCGCCTCGTGATGTCGCGACTCACTGGCTCCTCGCGCATGGCTCAGGCCGACTCTGCTCGGCTGGGACAGCGGCTCGTGGCTCGGCGGAGGCTCGCCCCCCTAGACGCGGAGATATGGGGAGATATGGGGAGATGTGGGGAGATGTGGGGAGATATGGCTCGGCGGAGGCTCGCCCACCTAGACGCGGAGATATGGGGAGATATGGGGAGATATGGGGAGATATGGCTCGGCGGAGGCTCGCCCAGCTAGACCACCTAGAAGCGGACTACGTACTCCAACCAGCAACCAGCAACCAGCACTCGAGAGGACGCGCATTCCACCGCTATCCAGCCGTATTCCGCTGTACTCACGGCACTCGTAGCCCCTCGTATTCACGCGGTGCTCTGAACACACTGCACAAGACCGTCTTCCCGCCCTCATGCCGGCGTGTTCAGCACGTAGGCTGCCCATATCTCCCCATATCTCCCGCCCTGAGGTCGGCGTGTTCAGCACGTAGGCTCGCCCAAGCCGTGGACGTTCCACCTCGGCGCCGCTCGTCTTGCCGCTCCCTCGCCGTCTGCCGTGCCGAGACTCTCCCCGTAGACACCTCCGAGACACCTCCCCAGGCGCCAAGCTCGTCCTGCCGCTCCACTACCTCGCCGCGTGCGGCTACTCCAACGACACGCTCGTCGTCTTCACGGACCACGACGTGCTCTTCCAGGGCGGCGCCGCGGCGCTGCGCGAGGCATACCGCGCCGCCGCCTCCGCCTCAGGCTCGACCTCACCACATCTCCCCACATCTCCCCCACATCTCCCCACATCTCCCCCACATCTCCCTTCATCTCCTCACATCTCCCTTCATCTCCTCACATCTCCTCACATCTCCCCCACATCTCCCCACATCTCCCTTCATCTCCTCACATCTCCCCCACACCTCCCCACATCTCCCCCACATCTTCCCACATCTCCCCACATCTCCCCACATCTCCACATATCTCCCCACATCTCCCCCACATCTCCCCCACATCTCCCCACACCTCCCGCTCCAGCCCCTTCCCCCTCGCTCCAGCCCCTCCCCCCTCGCTCCAGCCCTACCCCCCCCTCAGGCTCGCACCTGCTCTTCTCGACCGAGCACCATATCTCCCCATATCTCCCCATATCTCCCGCCTCAGGCTCGCACCTGCTCTTCTCGACCGAGCACCAGCCTTACCCGGAGGAGGTGGGCCCGCTCTTCCCGCCAGCGCCAGGCGCCGCACTCGCTTCCGGTCAATCCTGAGCTCGGAAGTGCGGCCGGAAGTGCGGTGTCGGAAGTGTGTGTCTGCCCGTCTCTCAGGTCCCGCCCCCTTCCGCTACCTCAACTCGGGCATGTGGGCCGGGCGCCCGCCTAGTACCGCACCTCCAGAGTACCGAACCCAGTGTGGGTTCAGTCCCGTGGGTGGTGCGGTAGGCCCGTCGGCGCCGTGCTCGAGCTGCTGCAGACGCTGGTGGGCGTGCGTCGCGGCGAGTCGCTGCCCGCGCTGCTCGACGTCTACCTCAACTGGGAGCGGCACACTGCGCGCGCTTCGCCGACGCCGCGCGTCTACGTCGACAACGACCAGACCGCGTACGCCCGGCTCTTTGTGTGCCGCAGCTCCTCGCGAGATGACCCGAGATCACCCGAGATCACCCGAGAGTAGGTACGCCTGCCTCTTCGTCTCGCAGCACCTCGCGCGTGCGTGCGGCGCGAGGGGCGGGAGTACCAGGCGGCCGCGCGAGAGTAGCCGAGAGGAGCCGAGGGTAGCCGGGAGTAGCCGAGAGTAGCCGAGAGGAGCCGAGAGGAGCCGAGAGGAGCCGAGAGGAGCCGAGAGGAGCCGAGAGGAGCCGGGAGGAGCCGGGAGGAGCCGAGGGTAGCCGAGAGGAGCCGGGAGGAGCCGAGAGGAGCCGAGAGGAGCCGAGAGGAGCCGAGAGGAGCCGAGAGGAGCCGAGAGGAGCCGAGGGGCGCGGGTAGGCGGCCGCGCGTCGGCGGCCGCGCGCGCTGCGTCACCTGCCCGCATGACGGGCAGCGCCGCTGCGTGCGCGCCAACGGGTCGCCCGACTGCAGCGCGGGGGGGGGGCGGCTGCTCGGCGTGCGGCTCGGCCTTGACTACTCGCTGCGCCTCTTCGAAAACATGTTCAAGGCGCGCCTCGGCATACGCCTCGGGCGAGGGAGGGAGGGCGGCGACTCTCGGCCGTACTCTCTGGATCTCGGCGCGAGATCTGCATCTCGGCGCGAGATCTCTCGGAATGAGATCTGCATCTCGGCGCGAGATCTGCATCTCTCCTCAAGGCGGGAGCGCATCGCCTCGAGGGCGGCACGCTGCGGCACAGATCCTCTGGTGCGACGCCGCTCGCGGTGCACTTCAACGGCCCAGCAAAGGTGAGAGGCAGCCGGGAGGCAGCCGAGAGGAGCCGAGAGGCAGCCGAGAGGAGCCGAGAGGAGCCGAGAGGAGCCGAGAGGAGCCGAGAGGAGCCGAGAGGAGCCGAGAGGAGCCGAGAGGAGCCGAGAGGAGCGGAGAGGAGCCGAGAGGAGCCGAGAGGAGCCGAGAGGAGCCGAGAGGAGCCGAGAGGAGCCGAGAGGAGCCGAGAGGAGCCGAGAGGAGCCGAGAGGAGCGGAGAGGAGCCGAGAGGAGCCGAGAGGAGCCGAGAGGAGCCGAGAGGAGCCGAGAGGAGCCGAGAGGAGCCGAGAGGAGCCGAGAGGAGCTGAGAGGAGCCGAGAGGAGCGGAGAGGAGCCGAGAGGAGTCCAGCCACACGCGGCCAGAGATCTCGAGTGGTCTCGGGTGATCTCGAGTGATCTCGAGTGATCTCGGGTGATCTCGGGTGATCTCGGGTGATCTCGAGTGGTCTCGGGTGATCTCGGGTGATCTCGAGTGATCTCGGGTCATCTCGGGTGATCTCGAGTGAACGCCCACCTCCAGATCGCCTACCTCCCGGGCCCCGCGCCTGACGCCCGCGCGCGCGCCCCGGCCGTCGCCAAAGGTGGTGCACGATGCCGGCTGGAGGCTGCCGCAGTGGGGCGGCAAGCCCGACATGCCGCGCCAGCTGCGCAACGCCCTCTGCGCGTCGCTCCCCGCCGCCGAGCGCGCCGCCGCCGACGCGCGCTTCGCGTCGCACGTGACGTTTCTCGACCCGACTTTCCGACGCGTGAGCGGAGGCATCGGCCATCTCAACTCGACCTGCTTGGGCGTCGTAGCAGCTTGACGAGCTGAACGGCGGGTGCGCGCGCGGCAGTCGTGGCGGGTGAAACTGCAGCGGCGTGTCCAGTGGCGAGAGAGGGAGCAGCAGCGCGGTGGTGGCTCTGACGTCTCTGCCTCTGGCGGCGAGGCCCGAGGCGCGGCCGCGGCGCCGGCGGGCGGCGCCGCGAGCGCGGCGGGGTGGGGACATTTTTCGCTTTGTTGCAATGCAGGAGCTGTGAGACCTGTATGTACGTGGAGGAGTTCGTCCAGTTCCATGGTAAGTACGAAGAACACAAAACAACCACTCGCTCCGCCCCACGCGCCGGGCCCCGCCGCGGGTCCCGCTCCGCGCGCTCGTCATTAGGCAGTGGACCGGGTTATCGCCGGCGCGCCTCGATCGGACGGATATTCTCACACAGCGGGCGGCGGCCGTGTCTCTCGCGGTGCATGCACCGCTGCCACGCCCTCGGTCACACACAAATGCAGCCTCCCCCCTCCTTCCAACCCACGCAGAACCTCTCTGCTCTGCAGCAGCCGGCGCGGTGGATGCCGTGCTCGCGCGGTCTGAGGCGGCTGCAGCGCGTCAGTAGTTAAGGTGGTCGCCCCACCCCTCCGATGGCCGCACGCCTCGCGGGCCCGCTGCTGGCGCGGGGGCTGCGCGAGCACTCGCCACTCCCGCCGGCGGGATGTAGTCGGATTTGTGGTCGCCCCACTCCATCGTAGGAGGGGTAGGGGGGACCCGCATGCCCGAGCGCCTGTCGGCCGTCGGCGCGACCACACCGCGCACCGAGAGCGCCGCCTCGCCCCTGCCTGCAGAAGCACCGGGCAAGCCGAGCCCCTGCTTGGAGAGCCACGCACGCTTGGCCGCCTCCTCGGCGGCGTTCATGCGGACAAAGGTGCGCGTGGGCGCGGCTGCGGCTGCCTGTGGCTGCAGCCTGGAATGGGCCGGGACGAGGCCGGCGGACGACATCGCGAGGGCGAACATCTGGCCGGAGAGGGAGGTGATCAAGTTGCGCAGCTCGGGCTATCTCTGCCCTTCGACGGCTTTGCACCGCGAAAGAATTCAACCTCTTTCTTTTTCGGTCTTCTTCGTTGCCACCACTGCCGTGAAACTAGCAGTCTACCCGAACGGTCGCGGGGGGGCGGGAGCCGCGCGAGATCGCGAGGGTGTCGAGGGTGAGCCTCTGGGGGGGCGCGGGGGCCCTAGGAACCCAGTGAATACAGCGAGGAACGGCAGCGTGATGCACGCGAGCAGGAAGGTCGGGACCAGAATTCGAATGGCGAAGAGGTCCTGCATGTCGTCCTCTTCTCGGCCTGTGAGCTCCTCGCACATCATAAGGATGGCAGCGAGCCAGTAGCGCCGCTGCGCCGCCGGTGCAGACGCGCTCAGCGTCAGGCATGGAGCGCTCGTGCGTAATCAACCTGCTTGGCTCTCCATCGTCGTCAACGCCGACATCTCTCTCAACGCCGCCAACCAACCTCCTTTGAGCTCGTCAAGATTCGTGTCTCTCTTCGCAGTCTCTCGCCAATTCTTGCAGCGACCTTCATGTCTCACTTTTCGCGGTCTTCCCACTCTCGTCGTTCTCTCTCCTGCCTCTTCATCCTCCGACTCAGAAAGAAAGAAAGAAAACACGCAGAAGGGTGGGATGGGAGGACGGCAAGCCGCCACCGCGCGCGATATTTTTTTGCGGGCGTCTCACGCTGAGAAGGAAGCCCAACGCGTGCATTTACAATGCGTCTGCTCCTGTACCTCGCGACGCACCTGAGCGATGACCACGCTGCTTGCCTGACGTGCTGGCCCGCGATGCTCGCGCACGCGCCGCTGCTCCGCACCGCCGACGTTCTGGTGTATGCTGGCGGCCCTGCGGCCGCGGTGCCGGCGGTGCGCCTCAGCTGGCAGAGCATCGTGAACGCGCTCCCGAATCGGAACGCCACAATCTTCTTCTCCGTTTTCAATCCAGGCTACCAGGACGGCGCCAAGTACGCCATGCACGTCGCTCTGACGAGCGGCTGGTTCGATGCGTACGAGTGGGTCGTGCGCATCAACCCGGATGTGATGGTGTTTGACGAGTCAAGGCTAACACTGGCGATGGCGGGACTGTTCGGACCGTCGCCGGGCCGGTACGAGGGCGTCTTCGCCTCGTGCAGGCGCAACAAGCCGTGCTACGGCCGGGGGTGCGAGCACGGCCTCATCCAGACGGGTGCGTCGCTCGCTGCAGTGCCCCAGCCGCACTCTCCCGTGCACACTCGTCTCTCGTCACGGCCTGGCTCCACGCGACAGCACGCACGGACGCACACCGCTCCCCCCTCTGCGCGCCTCGGGCAGACGTGCTCGCGGTCCGGCCGGACGTGGTCCCGCGCGACGCGTTCGCTTGCTGGCGCACGAGCCTAGACGCGGAATGCGGATTCATGTCCTCCTAGTAGCGCTCGAGAGGACACGTGTTCAGCTGCATTCCGACCGTATTCCGCTGTATTCACTGGGTTCCTACCCGCTGTACTCACGCGGTGCTCTGAATGCTCTGGTGTACGATACCGTACTCCCGGCCTGATGTCGGTGTATTCGGCACGTAGGAACACCACCTCGTGTCTGTGGAGAAGTTTACGTTACCGTACCTTACGTAGGAACTCGAGCGTGCCTCGCAGCGACCCCGAGTGCGGCTTCGCGCGGAGTGGCGCCGAGAGCCACGCCGAGGAGCAGGCGACGCGCGCCTTCCGCCCCATCGTGCAGGCGCGGGCCCACACAGTGTACGGAGGTGTATCGCGTCCACAGCCCACAACGCCGTGCCTCACTCTCCCTCTCTTGCTGCCGCCGCAGCGGCGGGCGGACGCCTGGCTCAACCTCAACCACACGTCTGGCTCCCTCTGCCGCATCAACACGGGCGCGGGCCGCGCCGTCGCGTGAGACGCACCCCCTTCGTCTCGCTCCGAGTCGGCCGGATGGCTGTAGGCGGGTTGCGGCACCTGGATACGCACAAACGGCCGAGCGACCGGCTGCTCTGCGCAAAGGCTTGCCCAGTGTGGAAGGCGGCCGACCCGTGGCAACGATTTGTGGAGCTCAGCCAGCACCTCGCGAGGAAGAGGGCGGCGAAGAAGGCGGCGGAGTCGAGCGGCGGGCCGGGCACGGACGGCGCGGTGAGGCGCGCGCGGTCCGCAGGCGCAGCGCATAGGGCGGCGAAGAAGGCGGCGAGGAAGCTTGCGCGAAACGCCGCTCCGGAGTGAGCGGCTTGCGTGGAATACGCGGCTGCTACGGGCACGCATTCCTTTTTCTAACAAAATGTTGGCCACCCGGCTGTTTATGTATGTAAAGAGTGAATGCAGAAGATCGGACAGGGGAGGGACGCGGCCAGAAAGAGGGCGGGCGCCGAGGTTCGAAAGCCGGCGCTTTCGCGCGTTCGAAGGGGCTCTGCACGGAGTTTGTGCGAAATTTGCGGTTGGCCTTCGCCCTGCGGCGAGATGGCACCGCAGGTCACACATAATCATAAACACAGATGAAAAATGAAATACCGGCAGAGCGGATAATCGATAAAAGAGCCGTAATAGCGCGGTGCCGCGCGGTCTCGGCACTCGGGTTTCTCGGGTCTCGGTCTGGCCGCACTGGCCGGGGTCCACAGGAGTCGCACTCGCACGTCTCGCAGCTAGCGGTTAGAAGCAAGAAGGCGCAGCGCCTCAAGCAACGCTCAAGCGCGGCGCGCAGGCAGTCCGCAGAGCCGCCCCCGTGTCCAGCCCCAGGGCTTGACCACGGTAAAACAATGCTCGCCTACCCATCTCCGTTCTAGCCTATCCCAGCTCTAGCCTAGCCAACCAATATTCATCGGCCCACGCCACCAGGCTCTGGCTACGCGCTGTGTGTGTGTGTGTGTGTGTGTGTTTGTGTGTGTGTGTTTGTGTGTGTGTTTGTGTGTGTGTTTGTGTGTGTGTGTTTGTGTGTGTTTGTGTGTGTGATGGCCGACCGTAGCGAGGAGCATGCCGCTGTACGGCGCCTTCTTGACCGCCGGGTGGCACAGCAGCTGTCTGGCGACGTTGGTTGGCAGGGGCGGGCTGAGGAGCGCCGCCCACGAGCGCTCCATGTAGTGGCCCTCCTCGAGGTTGTCCGCGCGGCTGAGGGACTTGGCCAGCGCGGCCCAGTCGGCCGCCGACACGCGCAGAATCTGCTCGCGACGCGCCGCAAAGCTGCCGCCGTAGCAGACCGGCCACACCTCGCGAGCGCGGAGCTCGCTGTACGTCGGCTGTGACAGCACCGACGCCAGCCACGCGCCGATCGACTGGGTGGGCGAGTTGAAGGTGGCGTTGACGGGAGCGCCCCCGCGGAGCCGCTGCGTGTGTTTCTCCTTGTAGTTTCGGAGCACGAACGCCTCGAGGACGGCCCGCTCATGCCACTGCGACCCATTGCCCGCGGGGCCGCAGTGCGGGGGGGCGCGGCCGCACGAGAAGCCGCGCGTCCTCAGCTCCTGCGCCATCTGGACCGCCGACCGCTCGTACTTCTTGAAGTCGTGCCCGCCGTAGTGGAAGGAGCTGTCCTTGAGGAAGAAGACCTGCCCCGGAAGGCTGTGGTGCCGCGTCGCGAGGTACTCGGCGTAGACTTGATCGTTGCGGCCCAAGTTGGGCAGCGTGTGCAGGTGGGCGCCTGCGCGGAAGGGCAGGAGGAGGAGGGTGCGGGGTGGCGGGTGGCGGTCTGGTGGTGGTGTGTGTGTGGGGGGGGGGGGGCACAGCTGGTGAAGGCTGCGTGCGACCAAAAGAGGGTTTTGCGGGCCGAGGGCGGTGGAAGCGGCGTCGGGTGCCCCCCCGCAGGGGCGCCAATCGGCGCGAGGCCCCACTTGGAGTAGATGTGCACGTCGATCACCTTGGTGCCGAGCGTCGCGAGCAAGTCGATGGACGGCTGGAGCCAGCTGAGGTCCTTGGTGCAGTGGGACGCCACGATCTCGGCGTCGCTGCCGGTCACGATTTCCGCCCCCGCGAGCATACCCGCCTCGATAGCGGCGACAGGTCTACACGTGCCACCCCGGGGCAAGGTGGAACTCGGTCGTATTGCCGACTCCATGCTCTTGCTACACATTGACATCTGGAATCTTCTGCTTACGCCGCACGCCCATTGTGAGAGACGCCGGACGCAAAAGAATTCTTCCACCGAGGCTCTCTCAGCACACTGGCACGCCCTTGTGAGACGCCGGAAACAAAAGAAACCCCTCACGCGCGCAGACATTGGTTTCCGCCGACGGGCGCACCAGTGTAGCAAGGAGATCCGCTGTAGAGCGCGATTTTGCTGTAGAGTTTGTTGTAAATCGACAGCTCTGAACTGCGCCTCACCACTGACCGGGAAGGCCGCCAAGTGGGCCAGCACAGGTCGCGCATTGTGCCATTTGTGGCAGCAGTCGGCAGTGCATGTCTGATAGCTAAAGCAGCAGCGTCAGGGTCGCAGGGTCGGATTGCGTCAAGCCTCTCGCCCGGCTGGCCGCGTGCAGACGTCGGCCTGTCTACTGACTGACTCTAGAGTCAAAGGGTCAGTACGATGATTGGAGGGTCTATCTGTGTGTACTCCTCGAGATCTCTCCAAATCTGCCCTCTATTCTGCAAAGGGGTGTGAACGGAGAGAGCAAACTCCTGGCAGCTCTCACAGCCGAAATGTGCGCCAGCTGCCCGCTCACCTGTCCCCGGCCGCCGCGCACGCACCTTGCTATGTGCTCGCACGAGCTCCCGTCCGAACCTCCGGCTTGGTGTCCCACTGCTGCGGAGCCGATCGCTTTTCCTCGGCGCTCGCGTCGAGCCGAGCTCTCGGCACGGCGGGCGTCGCTGTGCGGGGCGCCCCCGTTTCCTGCTGGCCCGAGCGGAAAGCTCCACGTGCCCGCGCGAGCTCCCGGCCGCCTCCAGCTCGGCGTCCCACTGCTGAGGAGCCGATCGTCGTCCGTCGGTACTCTCGAGGAGCCGAGCTCCTTGGCCGGCGGCCGGCGACGCTGCAGGACGGCGCGCGCACGCACCGCGACGCCAGAGGTGGGGAGAGCTCGGCTCGACGCGAGCGCCGAGGAAAAGCGATCGGCTCCGCAGCAGTGGGACACCAAGCCGGAGGTTCGGACGGGAGCTCGTGCGAGCACATAGCAAGGTGCGTGCGCGGGGGCCGGGGACAGGTGAGCGGGCAGCTGGCGCACATTTCGGCTGTGAGAG